GGGATCATATAGTCACTTTAGAATTAAACACCGTAACCTTTGGTATCGCCTCGGCACCCCATCTCGCGATACGCTGTATTCATCAACTTGCAGACGACGAGGGCCATAAGTTTCCACGTGGCTCACATATTTTAAAACGCGATCTGTATGTGGACAATTTAATAACGGGAGCTGAAACCATTCAAGAGGCGCGTAAGATACAACAAGAAGTGAAGCAGCTCATGCAACTAGGTGGATTCAACATGCGACAATGGGCATCTAACGAATCACTAATATTACGCGGTCTAACTGAAGAGCAGATTGATTCGCAGTTTCATTTTGACGGCGATAAAACAGTGAAAACTCTGGGTATCTCGTGGGACGCGAAGACTGACTCTATAACATACACGGTGAAATCACTCGATGCAGAGTCAGCAAGCTCAAAAAGAACTATCTTGTCCGAGATAGCAAAAATATTTGACCCTTTAGGATTATTAGGGCCAATTATTTTATACGCAAAATCAATCATGCAACAACTTTGGACATTAAAACTTAGTTGGGATGAGTCCGTCCCCACCAGCGTGTACACACAATAGAACGAATTTGCTAGGCAGTTATCGCTTTTGAATAACTTGAAATTTGAAAGAAGAGTGGTATGTTCAGGTTCAAACTCCCTCCAACTTCATGGATTTTCCGATGCGAGCAACAGAGGATACGGAGCTTGCATTTACATAAGATCCAGCGACAGATAGGGCAACATAAAATGCCAATTACTTACTGCAAGGTCACGAGTGGCGCCGTTAAAAACGGTGTCCATACTGCGCCTGGAGTTGTGTGGCGCTCAATTGTTGGCCAAGTTGTATTGCCAAGTAACCAATACTATAAATGTATCATTTGATCGAGTAATTTTTTGGACTGACTCGACAATTGCTCTTCACTGGATAAACTCATCTCCGCACTTACTCAAAATATTTGTAGCAAATCGTGTGGTAGATATTCAGGCTAAAACGGGGATTGGCGATTGGTGTCACGTACCTTCGGAGTCTAATCCAGCTGATGCTTTGTCTAGAGGTCAACTACCGGAAGAGTTTCTGCGCAACGAAACGTGGAGTGAAGGTCCTTCGTGGTTAAGGAAAAAGGAGGATGCATGGCCCAAGACAGTCATATCAGTGACAGATGTTTTACCAGAGACGAGGAAAATAAGTTGGTTTGTTACTGGAAATGCAGATTTTCTTCATGATTTCTCGTCATTTACCAGGTTGAAACGAGTTGTGGCATACTGTTTGCGTATGAGACCCGGAACCAATCGCAGCGGCGGTTTACGACCTGACGAATTGGCTTACGCTGAGAAGACCATACTGAAGTTCGTACAAACGTCATTATCAAGCGAGAAGGTAGACGAAATCACAAAAAGGAAGCCTGGGAAACCAATACACAAACGGTTACTGGCCCTTAATCCCTTTGTCGATCATGAAGGAATAATGCGTGTAGGAGGTCGCCTGAAAAATGCAAATATTTCCTATGCGCAGCAGCATCCAATATTATTACCTCGGTCGCACCATGTGACTGATCTCATAATTCGAGATTATCACACTTACAACTTTCACGCTGGTATCCAGACAACTCTGTACATGATGCGACAAAAATATTGGGTTCTAGATGGACGCAATCAAGTCCGTAAAATTATAAGATCATGTGTTCGTTGCTTCCGAGCGAACCCGCCAGACACAAAATATGTCATGGGAGATCTTCCAGGAGTTAGAGTTACACAAGCCCGACCGTTTGCCAACGTTGGCGTTGATTATTGCGGTCCATTCCTGATAAAGCAGAAGAAGCATCGAAACACAACCTTCGTAAAATCATATGTGGCGGTCTTTGTCTGCTTAGCCGTAAAGGCCGTACATTTAGAGGTCGTTAGTGATTTGACCACCGAAGGTTTCATCGCTGCCCTAAGACGATTCATTGCCCGTCGGGGAAAGCCTATATCTATCCACTCTGACAATGGCACAAACTTCATTGGCGCTCGGAATGAGTTAAAGGAACTTTACAATCTGTTCCAAACATCCGCGCATCAAGAAAGAACGGCGAGGTTTCTCAGCGATCAGGGTATTAATTGGCAGTTCATACCCCCATTATCTCCCCATTTCGGCGGTTTATGGGAGGCTACTGTCAAATCGTTTAAACATCACTTAAAACGCGTGGTTACTGGCCCAATCTTCACATTTGAAGAATTTAATACTCTAACTATCGACATCGAAGCCATTATAAATTCTCGACCGCTTTGTCCCATGTCCAATGATCCTAATGACCTTCTGGTCCTTACCCCAGGTCATTTCCTTATCGGCGACATTTTAACGAGCTTGCCGGAAGGCGATTACTCACACATCCCAACTAATCGCTTGTCCAGATGGCAACACATCCAGAAGGTCCGCCAAGACTTCTGGGCACGTTGGCATAAAGAATATCTCAATGAACTGAACATCCGTCACAAGTGGTCTACTGGTCATCACTCCATCAAAGATGGCACCATTGTTTTAATCAAAGAAAACAATGTCCCATCTATGCATTGGACAGTCGGAAGAGTTGTGAAGACGTATCCTGGTGCTGACGGGATTGTTCGAACTGTTTCTGTGAAGACTGCGACAAGTACGTTAAAAAGATGTGTGAAACAACTCGCGCCTTTACCTATCGAGGACAATTGTGTAGCTAAATAATATAAGGGACGTCTAAATGGTGAAATTAGTTTATAAGTTGTTAATTAAGTTATGTTGATCGATACTCTCTCAACGGGGGGAGTATGGTTTGTCGCAATAATTTCATTTATATATTTTTTCATATATTTTAAGTTATTTCAAATAAACCGACAAATAATAGTCGGTATTAGTATAGGAAAAAGACAGCATTCATTCGATTCTTGTAACCAGCTTTCTGAGAATTATAACATCGCATTTTGCACGTAGGCAGGTCATAAAATTGACCGATCGGGCTAGGGTTTATGAGTCTTTTGTCCGGTTCCATCCGGTCGGGCGGTAGTTTCGACCACGGGAAATTCCTAGGTTTACGTACATTTCAGATGTCTTGTTTATGTGTATGCATGTGCTGGTTACGAGGAACAAATGTTGTTGCCATTACTAATAGCATTCGGGTAGCGACCCTTGTCGAACGCACAACATCTTGTCTTTATCAATATTCCCTTTTTGTATTTCGTTGTTGTAATTCAAATTCTAAAGTTTATTAAATCCAATAGTAAATTCAGTTATCCAGTTTTTTATTTTACTTATAATCTACAGAAATTACTGTGTCAAATTAATTTGGGGCACAGTTGTGGTCTAGTGTATATAGGATACTTACAATCTCCTTGGGAACTTTCCGTATGCTAAGTCCTCAACTTTTTCCAAAATTTTTGAGTAATAATGTTAAATCATTCCGAATCTGAGTTCGTAATATGATGAGCTAGTGATAGAAATTGGTTTTGTTTTTCTATCTCTTTCTTTTGATTGTCGAATAATATATTTAAGTTGTTTTTAATTTGTTGATAATCATCATCATCTACTGTGCCAAATAAGTGTTTGGGAGCGTTTCCGTTTCCATTAATGATTCCTCGCTTTTCACGGTGGTCTTAATTTATTGAAATTATCGTCGATTTAATTAAGAATATTCTCTAGGGATATCAAAGATGCAATTATTATGTTGATGTCTAAGAATAGTTGTTTTAGTTACTAAATCTAAATATGCTGATCTAATTTATGTGAGATTAATGTTATAAATGAACTTATGATAATGTGAAAAGAGGTGGGCTTCACCTAGCTCTTCTTCTAAATATCATGTGGTATTGTTAATCGGTGTTATTTCTAAACCGAGATGTTGAAGGTACAGGGTCATCATTATTAGTGGTAATTGAAGCTTATTATTTCAATTTTCCGTTTAGAATATTTTCTGGGGTTATTTTGGTTAGACGGCATAGCTTTTGTGTGTGTGCCTTTATTTTCTACCAATGTTATTCTATTAAAGGGTGGTTTTGTTGGTACGCTGGGTGTTTTTAACATAAAGGACTTTAGGAAGTTGGTCTGGAAGAGGTTTGCTGTTATTATCCGTGTTTGTTTTGTCTAGATATTTCTCATTTTTATGTCTAGATTTTTCTGAAATTTGATTGTAAAACTGTTCTAGTTCTTTAATTCGATTCATTATGTATTTTGATGGTTTATTGAATTCAGGTATTTCTTCTTCTGTAAAGTTCTTATAAGGACCATAAATAATTTCGAATGGTTTTAATTTGGTTGTTGATTGTACCGAATTATTGTACATAAAAACTACTTGTAATACTAAACTTGGAATTGTTTCTTCAGGATTAGTGGGCTGTTACTTTTTCCTTAATGGTTCCATGTACACGTTCTATAGGAGCTATTCCTGTAGGATTATTGATACTTATGACATGTAAATCTATATGGTACAAACGACAAAAATCTATTAAAATAATATTATTGAATTCAATTTCTTGGTCTTTCCAGGTAAATTATGATGATTGATGAAATGTCTTATCTTATTTATGTAAGTTGTCATGTTACCGTCATTTAAATGGTATGCTTGCGTGTATTTTGAAAAATGATCGAAAAAAGTGAGAAACTTTTGATTATCTGAAGTAAAAGTGTCTAACATAATGATTTCAAACGGATGACTAGACACGATTGGGCCTTTATAAGGTGGCTTGAGGATTACGGTAATATTTCGCTTGTAAACCGACGTCGCATTTATTGATATATGAAATGATTAATTTTTTTAAATTCGGAAAATAAAATTGGGCTTTTAATTGAAGAAAATGTGAATAGATACCATTATGATTTGTATCGTGATATTTAGCCACTTCATTTAAGGCGTTTCCTAAAGATAAAATAGGAGAATTATTTGTAGTTTTAATGATTTTGATTTGATAATTTTTAATGATCATAAAATATCTTAAATATCTGTGGTTGAAAATTTAGGATCAAAATAAATTTCTACCTGATTACCCATTTTTCCTTTTATTTCATTATTTAATTTAGTTATTAACCAAGGAAGGCCATTTTGATTAGCCAAAATATTAATTAAATTTACTTCCTTTAGTTATTAATTTGAATCTAGGCGTGCTAAACTTAACATTAATCATGATGGGAATTGAACTAAGTGGTCGATCTGAAATGGGCATTAAAGGTATAGAATTTTCTTGGGCTGAGTGTACTGTTTGTTGGTCATCTAGCAGTTCAGTTGAAATCGTTTAGAAACTCATTTACTTCTGTAGATGTTAAATCAGATGGAATATTAAAAAGTGAGTTCTAAATTTCCGATATCATCTTCTAACGCATTAATTTCTACTCGAGACAGGGCATCAGCGACGAAATTTTCTTTACCTTTAATGTGTTTGATATCGAAATCTGTTAATAGGTGAGCAAATGATAACACAAGTATGCAAGATTGAAAAGTTATTTAATGATAAAGAACGAATGGTGATTAGGTCGACTGACCGTTACATATACACACTTTTTTATTATTCTATTTTCGTACTCATAAGTTAACATACATAGGATAAGAATCATGATTACCAACCTTAGAGAATTTATTTGAATTGGTATCATGTACATTTTAATACAAAAATAGTTATAAGTGCGTTATAGAAACAAACAAATTCAAATACTTTTCATTTAAATATTAATGAATATTAACAAAATCATATTCTTCTAACTTAATTTTCCAACGGCAGAGTCGGTTCTGTGGTTCTTTAAGGGAATGTATCCACACGAGAGGTTGATGGTCCGTTTGTAATATGAATTTCCTATCAAATATATATGGGCGAAAGTGCTTATGTGAGTCTATTATGGAAAGAAGTTCTTTTCCAATTTGTAGAATAGTTACGTTCAACACTGTTAAGGGTCCTACTATAAAACGCAATGGGGTGTTTATCTTGCGATAAAACTGAACCAATTGCTTTGTTTAAAGCATCGGTTGTAATGGTAAACGTTTTAAAGAAGTTAGGGTAGGCTAAAATGGGGGCGTTGGTTATCAATTCTTTTATAGCCACACCGTCGTAGTAATGAGATGTGACTAACAAAAGTTGTGGTTCTGAGAAGAACGGATTTCATAATAGTGTTAGACACATTTCTGCATCATTGATGACAGCATTCGATGATTGACACTATTGCAGCATCCAAGGGTTGACACTATTGCAGCATCCAAATTAAAGTGAGCCTGGTGTTAGACTAATTTATTTGACTATTTACACGCTATTTTTACAAAAGTATTTACATTGGTTTAAATGGCAAATATCATTTCAGCAATTTACATTTGTGTGTGTAATTGCCTTTGACCTAGTTAGTCGCACTGCGTCGCGACCTAACAAAGTCAGCACAAATGAAGACGCTTAATTGATACACAATATAAATGTTTCTTGCTATACCGAGTGTTCCCACGGGACCCCCCTTCCAGTGAGGGAGAATCCTGGTCCAGCTGCTGTTCTGATGGCAAGTTATGGCGGCTTTTAACTGTCGGTGTAGTCGCTCAACCATACCATTAGCTGCGGGGTGGTATGCCGTTGTGTGTATATGTTTTGAGTTTGATAGATGCGAAAGCTCCTTGAACAGCTGGGACTCAAACTGTCTACCTTGGTCCGTGGTGGTTCTTAGGGGTGTGCCATAACGACAGATCCAGCCTTCATAAAAGGTTCGTGCAACCGTTGTGGCTTCCTGATCCGTCACGGAAAAGCTTTAGGCCAACGTGTGAATCTGTCTACACACGTGAGACAATAACGGTATCCTTCCGAGGGCGGCATCACAACTATGTCTACGTGGACGTGATCGAATTTCTCTAATGGTAGTTCGAATTTGCCCAAGGGTGGGAAAACGTGTCGGGTAATCTTTGCCTTTTGTGAAGAAACACATTCGCGTGCCCACTTGGCGCAATCTTTATTAGCAGATGGCCAGATAAATCGCTGGGTCACAAGTTTTATGGAAGTACGGATGCCAGGATGTGTTAGGGAATGTAGCTGTTTGAATGCGACGAAACGAAATGTTGAACTTAGAAAGGGTCTTGCCGTACCAGTAGAAATGTCGCATAAAATGGCTTTGTTTGAGCCGGGAATGTGAATTCGTTTGAGATATAACGAATTGTTTGAGTTCAGGTATTGATGAAGTTCCTTATCGGATTCCTGCGCAGAAGAAAGGGCTTCGTAGTCAAAATGTGTTGATAACTCAGAAATCCGTGAGAGTGTGTCTGCGATGATGTTATCTTTCCCAGAAATATGTTGGATGTTCGTTGAGAACTGACTAATGAAGTTGAGGTGCCGTGACTGTCTGGGAGAGCATTTGTCAGGGTTCTGACGGAAGGCAAAGGTAAGGGTCTTGTGATTTGTAAAGGTTATGAAGTCACGGGCTTCGAGAAAATGGCGGAAATGCTTAATTGTGCGATAAATTGCAAGAAGTTCTCTGTCGAATGCGCTGTATTTGACTTCAGCGTTCGATAGCTTGGAGGAGAAAAATGCAAGGGGTTCCCAGGTTCCATTGTGGAATTGTTGTAACTCAGCGCCCAAGTGATGGGCGGATGCGTCACAAAAAATTGCTAAAGTAGCATCTGGTTGCGGATGGTGCAGGAGAGTAGTCTGCGCTAGTTGCTTCTTGCTTGAATTGAATGCCTCGTCGGCTGTTGGATTCCACTATAGTAGTGCATTTCCTTTAATTTGCCCCAGTAGAAGATCATTTAAAACAGAATAAGTGCGGACAGCGTTAGGCAGGAACTTTCTGTAAAAGTTGAGCATACCCAGGAATCGTCGCAATTGTTTTGCGGTAGTAGGTTTGGAGAAATTGAAGATTGCTTTTACTCTGTCGAGTAAAGGGCGAATTCCATTTGCCGAGACAGAATAACCTCGAAAAATTATTATATCGTCAATGTACACTAAACATTGCCTAAGAGTCAGTCCCTGCAATGCTAGATTCATGCAGTGTTGAAAGGTACTTGGCGTATTTTTTAAGCCAAATGTGCATTTTTACGTATTCAAAATGACGAACATTTGTCGAAAAAGGCGTTTTTGCAATGGAATCCGTTGACATTTTAATCGGGTGAAAACCAAAGGTTAAATTGAAGAAGAGCGAAGGAGTAAATTTCCACTATTACTTGCAATTTTCTCATTGTCACTATTACTATCGGATGGTATCGATTTGATGGACCAATTTGAGAATGGACTGCACTCATCATTTGCAGAGACCTACTATCTATTCAGTAACGGTATCACAACTTTTTATGAACTTAAAAAATTAGTATTACGGTTAAGCGAAGATAGGGAACGGGTTTTAATCGATCGAATGACGGCCCAAACATCACTTCTCACATTAACACCAACCCAAGGACCAAGATCATATCAAGAAATTACAAGAAGCCACGCATCCAGCAGCAGAGGAAATATACGGCCGAGGTTCCAGCAAAACTATAGAAATCCACACTCACCACCACAACATCGTTCCTGGAACGCGAATGATTATTATCAGTCTTCAACACCCAGGGGTAATTTTCACAGAAATTACCAAAATCAATATAAGGAATTTCAAGAAAATAGGAATAGAAGGGGAAACGCGCCAAGAGAAAATGCACCTCCTAAAGGAAACGGTTATAGGGGAAACCAACAACGGAATTTATACAATCAAACCAGACAAGGAAATCAACAATATTCACTTTTGCCAAATACAAGATGTTCCGACGGAAAGCCACGATGCTGCAGCGAACGAAGGGTGTCGATCTCTATATCATCATCGCCAGCCTCAAACGTCCAACGGACGACTCAAGTAAAAAATCCCGACGAGTTTGTCCTATGCACATGGGGTTTCACAAAAAACATACTAAAGGTCAAGGGTTGCGTCAATAATAATTTATTTATTAACATTTTATTAGATACAGGGTCTAGTAAATGCATAGTTCATAAGTTCATTAACAAATAAAATAACTCCACTTAACAGTACATTTAATTTGATGAAACAGCGAGGGGTAACAAAATACAACCCTTAGACACAAGTGAAACCTTATTAAACTAGGTAATTTATAAGAGTATATTTCAGCGTTAGTGGTAAATTATTTATCAAAGCCAATAATATTAAGTACAGACTTTTTATCAAAAAATAATGCTGTAATCGATTTTCCGAATAAAATGGCATACCTGAAAAATAAAGAAACAAAGACAACCCTAAAATTCAACGAACAAGAGGACATATCTCCATGTACAAAAGCGGTAAATTACGTAGTCACACAACAGATCGCCGAAAACCCTATAAAAAGAACACACAACGAGTATAAACAGCATAACACCACAGATGTACCGCTGAAAGAAGATCAAGATGAAAATACAAAGGAAATTCTCCATAAAGTAACTTCTTCAGACGACTACACCCTTAAACCGGAGCAACCCCTTGAAATAACTTTGGATTGTAACACTCTGGAAGAGACACAAATTCAGAACATGGAATTCAGGGAAAACGATCCATTCCTGAGAAAAAAGGTAATCGTAATAAACAAATTTCGTCGCCCTGCAAAAGACACCCTGCTCGTTGAAATGGTAACAAAAGGTCACAACAACGTAAAAATTTTTAAGGGCGCCACAATTGGACACTTGGAAAAAACAAGATTATTGGATCTATCGGAAGAACCCAATTGTTTATTGGCAGAAGACAACGATAAGGTAACGCTGGAGGATCACAAAATAGGCCACATATCAGACTTAAATATAAAAGAAAAATTAAAGGATTTGCTAGGAAAATATAGTAACGTCTTCTCAAAAACACCGAAGTATATGGGAAACAAAGTAGATGTAGGAAACGCCCAGTCAGTAGAAAGTAGAGCATACAGGGTGTCCCAAAAAGAACGGGAAATTAGCGACTAATAAATCTCAGAAATGGCAAAATTCGGCATAATTAGGCCCAGCCATTCTCCTTGGGCAAGCCCAGTGGTACTTGTGAAAAAGAAGTTTGGAGAAACAAGATTTTGTGTGGACTACAGGCGAGTCAACGACCTCACCAAAATATCAGCCCATAACATACCAAATATCGACGATATTTTGACATACTTAGGTGACGCAAAATATTTTTCATCTTTAGACATATTTTCCGGATTTTAGCAAGTAAAACTAAGTGAGGAGTCTAAACCAATAACAGCCTTCAAGCACAGGGTTATGGACTTTGGGAGTTCAACTACATGAATTTTGGACTATGTAACGCACCAGCAATTTCAAGACCTAAAATGGAAAGAGGTACTTATATATATTGGACGACATAATAGTTTTTTTAAGCACAAAGGAAGAACATCTGAAGAAATTAGAAAACGTATTCGACTTAGGAAAGCCGGACTGACACTCAAACCGAGCAAATGTGATTATATGAAAGAGAAAATCAACCTTTTAGGCTTTTCCATTTCACCAAAAGGAGTCCTTCCGGATGAATCAAAATTAGTCGCTATAAAGAATTTTCCTACTCCAAAAGCAAACAAAGATACTCAAAGTTTAATCGGTCTTTGTAACTACTATAGGAAATTCATAGAAAATTTCAGTCAAATAGCACACCCCCTGCACACGACCACGCACAAGGACCCCGGGTTTGTGTGGGAAGACGAACAAGAAAATCCATTCCAAGCCCTAAAGAAAAAACTCTGCACCGCACCCGTTTTGGCACATTACAACCCTAGAAAGGGTTGCGAACTCCGATTCGATGGATGTCAAATTAGAATAGGGGCAGTACTGCTACAGGAGGGGGAAGATGATCAACCGCACCCCATCGCATACGCTGGCAGAAGCCTTTCAAAATCTAAAAACAATACACAATAACGGATATAGAATGTTTAGCAATTTGGGCTTTAACCTATTTAAGACATTTAATTTATGGGAAGCCAGTTAGAACAGTGACTGCAGTGACCATGCACTTTGTTGGTTAAAGTCTTTGAAAGACCGGATGGGCAGATTAGCTATGTGGTCAGTTAGATTGTCTGAATATGACTACACAATTGTTCACAAAAGTGGAGGTAGCCCACAGAGACGCCGATTGCATAATCCGACGCTCAGTAGTAAATCCAGGAAACAACGATGACGTCAATGACATTCCAATATTCCTGCTTGAAGCAACGGATATAAGAAAACACAGGGAAAATGATCAAAACATCAAAGAATTAATGGACGCTATTGAAGACCCCGACAACGCGACAATAGGCCGCAGAAAAAGAACAAAAAATTTAAGACTCATAAATGGTGTACTTTACAAGGCCAACGGCGGCAACATAGGACGAGAAAATTTATTAGTAATACCAAAAATGCTTACTGGAGAAATTTTATACAGTCACCATTCGGAACCATCCGCCGGACATTTAAGTGTAACTAAAACATTAAATAAAATAAAAAATCGATATTATTGGAAAAACCTTCAGAAGGATGTTGAAAAATTTATCAGGAACTGCCCAGACTGTCAGGCAAGAAAAGGAATGCAGAGTCGCAAATCAATACGATTATCACAGCCAATCCCAGTTGGAACACCATTCGAGAAAATAGGTATCGACATTCTTGGACCGTTTCGATAAAGCAAGTCACAAAACACCGTTATAGTTGTGGCGACGGACTACGTAACCAGATGGGCAGAAACAAAAGCCCTTCTCAACGGAAAGGCAGGACCAGTAGCGAAATTTATTTTAAATAACATAATTACTACACATGGAGAACCAACATATCTTTTAAGCGACCGTGGAAACGTCTTTCAATCGGAATTAGTAACACAACTTCTTAAACAAATGGGCACGAGAAGACTTTTTACTACGTCATACTACCCAAGCACAAACGGGCTTACAGAAACGTTCAATAAAACTTTGGCAGATGTTGTGTGTGTTTTGTCCTTTAAGAATTGTTATTTTAAGATATGGGAATGAGACACAACCAGTTGTCGGATGTTTATAGTAAATGATATCAAATGTTAGTCTTAATAATACACAAACAAAATTCACTCTCTCTTAGAATGTCACAACCTTGTAATATTTTCTTCGTTTTCAAAATAAACTTGTTTTTTGTATAATTTTATAAAATTTCGAACCTTCGTGATCGGTGTTAACAGGTGTTTACATGCAGACGCGAAATTTAGTGGCGATCGTGACAGGACGTGGAAAAGTGTGTATTTGACGCGCTTCTGAGTAATCGGTATTAAATACTGGACTGACAAACTTTTACGACGTTTTCGATCTTAGTGTTTCGATTTGAAGACAGTCGAGGTTTTGAACCAAGTTTGTGTTAAAAAGAAAAAGTGTCCAGTCAAATCGAAAGAAAAAAGAAAAGTCGCGCTGAAATCCGGGCAAAGCTGAATATTACCTTGACACTATAGCTAGGATGTCCAAAAGTTTTTATGTCGACAACTGTATCACCAGCGTTTCCAACAGGGATGAGTTGACCGGTTTTATAAGGGAAGCATCTCTTATTATGCGGGAACCCAATTCGACTTAAGAGGGTGGGAGTTTAGTCAGGATACCCCTTGTACCCGTGTTAGGGCTTCTTTGGCATCGAAGTCGAGATACACTCAGGATAAGTGATGACTTTCTAACGAAAAACACAAATTTGGAAGATCTTGTGATAACGAAAAGGGCTATCCTTTCTGCTGCGCAACGAGTATTCGACGTGATTGGGTTCACATGTCCAACCATTTTGGTACCAAAATTTTTGCTGCAGCGAATTTGGGAGGGCAAACGACCATGGGATGAACCAGTGGAATTGGAAATTGAGGAATATTTTCGTGAATATAATAATAAGAAAATAAAAAACAGGTACAGGTACAAAAGGCATCAAACATTTAAGTATACATGCGTTTTGTGATGCCAGCAAGAACGCATATTCCGCTGTAATTTTTTTCAGAGTGGAAAAGATGAATAATGTAGAAGTTTACCTGTTGGCTGCTAAATCAAGGGTAGCACCAATACGGAAGTTAACAATACCAAGGCTTGAACTCATGGCTGCAGTTGTTGGTGCCAGACTGTACGCTAATGTCAGAAAAAATTTAGAAAGTGAGGTACAGTCATTTTTTTGGAGTGATTCGTCCACAGTGGTATCATGGATTCAGCGACAGGAGGAATGGGCCACATTTGTATGGAACAGAGTTTCAGAGATTCGTATGTTAACGACTTCAACTGAATGGAGTAAATGTACCGGATGATCAGAATCCAGCGGATCTACCTTCACGTGGCTGCAACCCTGAGCAGTTACTCAAATCAAAATGGTGGGAGGGTCCGAAGTGGCTTTATGAGAACATGGAGATCTGGCCAAGCGGACAAACTCAATATGATGAAATTGAGGTTGGTCAGGAACGACGAAAAAAATTAGTAACGACACTTCTGGATAACGCTACAGATTTCTGGCATTTGTGTCATTTCTCAAGATACTCAAAGACGGTGAAGATGATCGCCTGGATGCTCCACTTTATACGTAACTTGAGAAATCCTTCTCATAAACAAAAAGGCGAGCTGACGGTACAGAATATTGATGATGGAGAACGATTTCGATTAAAAACGATTCAGGCTGATATGTTTTCTGGAGACAACTCCAGGAAAATAGAACATCTTAGACCATTCTAGTGAACCAGTGAATATTTTAGACACCCTATTGTACTGCCTTCGAAACATCATGTCGTAGAAACTTTGATATTGAAAGAGCATATTGATTGTGCACATTTGGGTGTGCAGGGTATCTTAAGTAAATTAAGAGAAAAATACTGGATCTTGGGAGGAAGACGTACAATAAGGACTACGCTCGGGAAATGTTATGTTTGTAAACGATATAATTCCAAACCGTTTCAAGTGGAATCCTCTGCGTTGCCTTTGGACAGAGTTCGTGAAGCAAGAGTATTTGAAGTTACCGGGGTTGACATGGCGGGCCCTCTTTATCTACGGGATGGGACCAAAATATGGATATGCCTTTTTACATGTGCCGTATTTCGAGCTGTTCATTTAGAAGCAGTTACTTCGTTATCTACCAATGGTTTCATTCAGGCTTTTCGGAGATTTGTCGCACGCCGTGGTCGACTAAAAACAATGTAGAGCGATAACGGGACGAACTTCACGGGCGTGGAAAACGCGTTATCGCAGTTGAACTGGGACGACATAACCAAGAATTCTGCCGTGCAAAGAATAGTTTGGCGGTTTAATCCCCCTAGTGCTCCGTGGTGGGGTGGATTTTGGGAACGTTTGATTGGTGTCATGAAACAGTTACTACGTAGAGTTTTAGGCCGAGCTAGTCTAAATTTTGAAGATCTTTTGACGATAATTTGTGATTGCAAAGCCGCGATTAATTCTCGACCACTTACGTACGAATTCGATTATCCAAAAGAGTTAATAGCTATTACACCAATGTTTTTAATCAACCAAACGGAAGATGGTTTACCGGATTGTGACATTATTGATAGGTCTTCATTGTGTCGGAAGTTAAGATATAAACAAAAGCTACGGGATGATTTGCGCCGAAGGTTTAGAAACGAATATCTCGAGCAACTAAGATCGTTCTGTGAAAAAAAAAACCGGGTCGACAAATAGAACTTGATGAAGTCGTTTTAATCGGGAATGACCAAGATAAACGTATAGACTGGCCGCTCGGGCGCGTGGTTGAATTACTTCCGGGACGGGACAGCCAGATCCGACTAGTCAGACTGGAGACTTCGAGGGGAAGTTTGTTGAGGCCTGTTCAACGTCTTTACCCTTTGGAATGCATCGAATCATCGGCATCGTTTGAAACCAGGCCCAGTGTCCCGACTTCTTCGTTGGTTCCAGGGAAAAGAGGGGTGATTAAAAGTGCGGGAGTGTCTTGTGAAAAAAGCAGAGTCCCCGTTAAAATGAGCAGTAAACCGCCCCAAAGGTTTTCTTATTAAATTTCTGTAATGTGTTAACTATTGCTCTTGTAATATTCTATATGTTACTGTTGCTTGCATTTTACTTGTAAATTTTGTGATGTATGAGAAACTTTTTGTTGTTCTCAAAATGTTCCTCAGGTGGGAGGATGTTGTGTGAGAGACTGTACAATTTAAATAGTTTTGTCCTTTAAGAATTGTTATTTTATGATATAGTACAGTCACGGAAAGTTTTCACCTCTGATTGCGTTGAACCTCCATCAATTTTCATGAAAACTGGTGAGTAGTTAGAGGATACCTCAAGAAACAAAAGTGACATAGTGCCAACTTGCGCTTTTAACCTGGGGGTGGATGCCACCCCTTCTCGGGGGTGGAAATTATTTTATGAAAAATAACCCCAGAAATCGATAGAGGGACCAATTGTAAGCAAAATTTGTTATAGAGAGTTATTAAAAATAAATCAATACTTTTTAAGTTATTAAAGATCAAAGATTTTGATTNGATAGAGGGATCAATTGTAAGCAAAATTTGTTATAGAGAGTCATTAAAATAAATCAATACTTTTTGAGTGATTAAAGATCAAAGATTTTGATTTTTCGCGAAAAAAATGCATGTTTTAAAGCGGTTTTTCATAAATAACTCAAAAACTATAAGGTTTTACGAAAAAGTTGTCATTGCCAAATTTGAAGCTAATAAAAAAACATAAAAAACCTTTTAAAATTAATTCAAAGTGAGCTAAAGGTAATTGAATGTATACTTTTTCAATGTATACTTATTCAAGCTTAAATAACGGGAAAACGATGCATTTTATAAAATATACTTGCAGAGCAATTTTGAAAGTACTCAGAAATACCTATCAAATGAGCTACGGAAGAAGTTGATACCATCAAAATTAAGCAAGTTATGATGAAAATAAGAGGACCCTTTCGAATTTTTTAGGAAAAAGTGAAAAATGTAACCTACGCCATTTCCACAAAAATTAAAATTTATAGTAATCCCTATNTACAGGCCGACAGTGCCCTTGCCTCAAGTTTTTTATTATTATTATTATTTTCAAAAGTTAAGTTCAAAAAACTGCACAAACCCCTCTACAAGAACACGTTTGGTCAACCCCCAGAAAGTGGTGGGAATTTAGAAATATAAGATAGTATCTAGACAGAAAGAAAAATAGAAGAAGAAATAAAGTAACAAACAGAAAAATTTATAAGATTTAGAACATTTTTGTAATTGAAAAATATACAACATATAAAAGTGCAAACAGTACCTTATTTTAAGTTAAGTTAAGTAGCTTAGGATCCAAGATCCTAACAACACTAACCGAATTCACTCTCTCTCAGAATGTCGCAACCAATACACTTGTAATATTTTCTTCGTTTTCAAAATAAACTTGTTTTTTGTACAATTTTATAAAATTTCGAACCTTCGTGGTCGGTGTAAACAGGTGTTTACATGCAGACGCGAAAGCACATATGCTTTTCAAGTACACAAACACCAATCAAACGAATTGGGATGAATATTTGAGCCACGTGATTTTTGCATATAATACAAGCCGGCAGGATACAACAAAATTTTCTCCATTTATGTTAGTCTACGGCAGGCAACCAATATTACCCACGGAGGCGAATATATTACCTACCCCAGAACAAAAGACAGTCGTGAAATTAGAGATGAAGCATTGTTAATTCGGAACAAAGCCGTGGAAAACATCGAAATGAAACAAAAAATTGACAAACTTAGATACAACACAAAATATAAAGTGGGAGACCAAGTGAAAGTTTTCACCCCAGTTAGAAAAGTAGGAAGAAGCGAAAAGCTCCTACTAAGACGGTTCGGCCCCTACTACATAACAAAGAAAGTTTCAGATGTAGACTACGACGTACAAATCGGTAAAACAGAAAAATCGCCAAAAGATGTGGTACACGTTAGTAGAATTCTTCCTTACTACGATCCATGGACACCCGAACCAATACCCGAAATTTAATTATTAACTACATAAATTATAAAATTTAAATGAAATCAAATATAATAAAGATAGTAATGAATTAAAACATTGGCGTAAAAGTCGAAAAATCGACGAACAATTTATATAAAAGGCATAAAATAAGGACTCTATTGTTTGAATAATGAAGGCATTAATATAAGGACGATATAGGATTTTTTTATCACCAGATTCGCCCTAATCATAAGAGTCAAGTTGNAAATATAATAAAGATAGTAATGAATTAAAACATTGGCGTAAAAGTCGAAAAATCGACGAACAATTCATATAAAAGACGTAAAATAATTAAATAAGGACTCTATTGTTTGAATAACGATAGCATTAAAATAAGGACAATATAGGATTTTTTATCACCAGATTCACCCTAATCATAAGGGTCAAGTTGGGGTACTCACAAGGGGACTACCATGTGGAGGTCAACAATGGCGCGTTCTGTAAACCACTGCCAGAAACTACAACTTACGAAGCATCAATACAATTAAACTATGAGACGAATTGGAGTGAAGAAAACGTGGAAACAACAACACCTTTAGAAAAAGCATGTATTACTCCATCGAAGACGGATGAGTGCGTTATTGAACGTCATATAAGCGAATTATCAATAGCATACAAAAAGGAACTACAGATGCTAGGAGATAGTTAGAGCATCAGTTCATTAAACCCACAAGAGACATCTAGAAATAAGAGATCGTTAGACTTCATTGGTGAAGGATTCTCTTGGTGTTACGGACTAGTAACACACGAAAAACTAAAAATGGTAACGAAAAACGAGGATCGTCGGTGAAACAAGTCAGCGAACATTCAGAAAGGTTCAGAAAATACGACAGCATGGTATCAGCCACGTTTCAGAAGACGGAGGACAGAATGAAAATCATTGAAAGGTATGTAAAGGTTATGCAGAAAAATATCATTCAAACTACACGGGAACAAGATTCATTATGGACGATCTCATTATACGAGTATCAAAATTTAAAAAGAATTATACTTTTAACCAGAGAAATAAGAAGACATAACATTATAACGTCATGTAAATGTTATTCACCCTGCAATATTAAAACACGACCTAGAAAGGTTGGAAGGTGAGATAGGGAAATCAGGGCAGGAACTGGCCATTCCTGTTACCGCAGTATTTCAAACTTCCAATTACCGACTGTTCCTTTACCCAAAATAAACTTTTTATACAAATTGAAATTCCGATCATGGCAGAAAAGAATCATTGGAATATTTTTGAATTAATAACAACACCTTTTGTTGGTATAATCAAACGTGTTCTATACCTCACCAACCCTTATTTTTAGCAGTAACTAACCAAAACCCCGTAGGGAAACATAGCCCAAGACAAATATCAGGAACGGGCTTACATCAATGCAAACCTTATCATAACAAGCTCTGTTACATACCCCGATTTTCCGCTGATTCTATACAGGGACCTAAATGCGCGAAGAAATTATATGAAGGAACAACCGTAGAGGATTTAAGCCAACATTGTCCAATGAACTGCCATAGAGGAAATGATAATTTCAAAGGTACTAGAAGAAGTATATATAATAACTCACCCAAAACCTAACACCACAATAAAATGCGATGAAAAAATAATCCCAATATCTAATAATTACAAAAAACAGGGTTCAATAAAAATTAATCTTCTTCGGTCGGGAAGCGACGTCTTCATCGCCGACAGATGCCCCGAAAACCTAAAAAATGAACCACAAATTATTCACATTATACCTGCCATTTGGTCTAACCTAAAATCATTCACAAGACGACACGCAAACCAAAATATTCCTATGTACAAAAACATACATAAATGCTTAAACGACAATTGGACGTTAAATATCCCTCATCTAAACTTAACTTCTAGCAAAGACCAATTAAAAAATGTTATAAATCCTATAAGTAATCCGGGTTTGTACAATCCATTCATATCATACAGTGACAACTATGGAATACACAGCGATTCCATATTTTTAGTTTGGAATATCGTATTATCTATTATTGTTATATACTTACTCTGTAAACAATACCAGCTGATCGTGGCAGCAGCAAATATCCAGCCAATAAGGGGCCAATCACTGAGCCTAGAACCTTCACATCATGCCCTAGTCAGCACATGCCTGATCGTCTTTCTTATATATATGACGTTTCATCTCGTCAAATGTTGTTTAAAACGAAAGGGAAAACCTAAAACCATATACCATTTACAAAAACAATCCCAAAACAATGTGGAAGAAATTGAAATGACCTCATTACCCCAAACTTTCTCATCGAAAATTTCTTCATCCTCAAATAAAAAATTCATTATAAAAATCAAGGAGAAATAAAAAATAAAAAATTGCCGCCGAACTTGAATGTATCCAATAAATCTAATTATTGCCTATTCACCGTATTAAATGTAAAACAAAGTCAGCATATCGCGACTTTCTTCGATTAGTTTTTTTGATACCCTTAGATTGTGTTTATTATCGGATTATTTAAGTCAGGGCATATTCTGGAAATTTGATACTACTGAATAAATATCACGGTAATTTTGTGCTTTTCTGAGGGGGTATCTAAAACGATTGATTCCCTTTATTACGTGCATAAAATAATAAATAATATGAAGTATATGCGCATAGACAAACAAATAAATAAAATGATATAATGAATGAAATTAACGATAGAATACGCGCCTACATTATTAAAAAGAGGTTAAATAAAGAATTATAAACGGAAAAGTTTTATAAAATAAAATTGTAAAAGGGAAATAATTTAGTTTAAAAAAATANTGTCTATCAAATTCGGCAGGGAAAATCCTCTCGATTGAAGATTATCCTTGTAACAGGCACAAGCAACGCTATGATCACTATTGATATTCACGTAACACTTTATGCTCGACGTTTTCGTATCCGAAACAAAGAGTTGAAACTCACGACTTTTCGAATAATTCGCTATGAATTATTCTGTAGTTAAAGTCTCTGCGGATCCTGTTCGCAGCGCCAATTATCTTTTCAATTAATGAAAAGTTATTTTTAAAAACAATTGTTTTATTTAGTAACTGTAAAAAGCTTAAAATTGAAGCAGGCGGCTTCTCTAATCGAGAGACTAATAAGAAGTTACAATTTTATTATTACATATTAGAAAGATGCAACACTAATCCTAAAAATGCATAATTAGTAAAATACGTTCTCACGGTAACATCTCACGCTCGTTGATTGTACATAGGTTCAAGGACATAACTCCTCCCTCCTTAGTGATAGAATCGTCCTCGATTCTCATATTACGACAACGGTGAATTCTGACCTTCGATGACGTCTTCTTTGGCTACTGATTTATTTTTTATAGAGCAACATAATTTGTACTTTGCAATTATGAAAAATATTATAACAGTTAAAATAACAAACAATATAGATATTGAAACATGCGTTAAATGGACAACTGGATGGACTTTAAAATTCGGCAGTAACTGAACAGCCTCAGTTTTTAACTCTTGAATATTATTTAAATGCCCTTGTTTTAAAAAGACCGTTTTAGTTATGTTTAAATCCAATTGTTCTATTTTAGGAATTTCTACACTAAAGTTAACAAACGTTTTTTCAAATATTTGGTTTTCGATAATAATTTTACATTTATCGCCAGAGCGTATAATAACACTGTTATAAACGTTAATATGTTTAACTGTGCTTCCACAACATCTCGGTTACCGTAATTTCATTTTTACTCACTGCTAGCACAACATTATTATTTAATTGTGTGTATAACGTTTAATTATTAATCACTTCACCAAAGGAACACAAACTTAATTTAATTAAACAACACTCGTCATTCACAGGTTTGTTTCGGCACAACACTATATTTTTGATAGTTGGGCATTTTTCGTTGGTCCAAAGATTTTGAGGTCCAGCTAGGTAATATTGCGCTGGGGGTAGTAGCGTTTGGTCATTTGCATTAGGGATAGGATATATTTTATGGTACGTATATGGCAAAGGATTTAGAATAAGAATGTATAATACGTACGTGATTGTATCTTCCACAAATAAAACTCTAAATTTGGAAAATTCAATTATTTCGAATAAATAGTCAGAATTAATCATAATAAATTCATCATTCTTATAAGTCTCTGTTAAATGATTAGTTATCTCTAAAAGCTCTGATGTTGTCAAAAGTTCCAAGTTTGTAATTTCATTGAATGCTAAGGAGATGGTTCTTTCTGATACAAATAGGAAATTTAATAGTTTTTGACTTAGGTATATATTATACTCAATGGCTGCTTGAATGTTTATATTATTTTTGATTTTATCTAGGTGATAAAGAGAAGTATCGAGACTCGTTTGTATTGCTTTCAAATCATTGGCATATCTGTTGGTTAGATGTTTTCCTGGTTTTTATAGAGAGAATCTAAATTTTTGTTAATTTCAGCTAAATCGTTGCTATCAGAGTTTCCGGTGATATATTTAATAGCTGTACTTAGGAAATGAATTAACCCTCTCTTTGTTCTGCGCTTTAGTTTCCTAATCTGACTTTTAATTAGATAGCAATTATCCTTTAGACTCAACATTAATTTTTGTTTTGACCCTCCACCTGTTACGACATCTATAACTGCTACATTTTCTATAAGTGCTGCATAACTTAATTCTACACGAGTAATATTAAAATAAAAATAGAACTTATGATAGTGTGACAAAAGTTTGGCAGATCCTAGCCCTTCCAAATAATAACCTGGGGAATTAATCTGGTCTATGACTAGGCCCTGGTTGGGGATCGTCAAGATGAGGATCCTGTAAAGAAGGAAATTTTTTCTTAAAAGGTCTTAAAGCTCTGATGTGCGCGTTAGTTGGTCGCTTAGAAATTTTTCCTTCAATCTATCTGTTATCTACTTTTTCTACTTCCAGCTTCTGAAACTTTGGAGCATTCTTTCTTGCCCTAGATTTCCTCTGTATATAAACTACAGGTTCATTAACTTCTACTGTTTGTCTTCTACTTTGATTAACCCTTTCTAGCTGTTTATTTCCTTTGTCTAATTGCCTATGATATACTTGTTCGAAAAATGGAATAATCTTTTCACCTGTTTTCATTATGTTGTTGATAAACTGTTTTATCTAAATCAACCTCATATAAATGCAAATTATCGTAAGGTCCATACAAAAGATCGAAAGGAGTATAACCAGTAGAGGTATGTATTGATTGATTATAAATTAAAATTGCACTAATCATTAAATTTTGTGGGGTTTCATAGGGATTTTCCAAAGATAATGTTCTGATCTTTTCTAAGATGGTAGAATGGAAGCGTTCAATGGGTGAATTTGAAGTACTATTGTCAACTGTAGTAATATTTAATTCGATTTTAAAAACCGAGCAATATTCTTTTAAAATGTAGTTCGCGAATTCATTACCTGAATCTGCAACAATTTTTCGGGGATGGTTGTGGTTAAAAAAGTAGCTTTTCAATAAACAATAGAGAAAATNATGGAAGCGTTCAATGGGTGAATTTGAAGTACTATTGTCAACTGTAGTAATATGTAATTCGATTTTATAAACCGAGCAATATTCTTTTAAAATGTAGTTCGCGAATTCATTACCTGAATCTGCAACAATTTTTCGGGGATGGTTGTGGTGTGAAAAGTAATGTCTCAATTTATTCATTATGGTAATACAGGTTACATCGGTTACATAATAATACTGGGCATATTTTGTAAACAAATCGATTATCGTAAGAAATTTATTAGAGTTAAATTGAAAAATGTCGATGTGAATAATTTCAAACGGACGTTTACCTAACAAAAGTCCTGAAAAAGCAATTTTGTAGGGATGTCTTTCGTATTTTGCTTGTAGGCAAGTCTCACATTCGTTTATTATTTTGTTTATAAATTCTTTCATTTTTGGCCAATAAAATTGTCTTTTTAGATGTTTGTATGTCTCTTCTATTCCGTTGTTATTTAATCGATGGTAGTTATTAATAATTTCGTGTTGTTTTTCGCTTTGGACAATGTCTTTAGCGTACAAATTACTTTTAACAAATTTCATTTCATTGCCCTTAAAAACGTCTGCAATCAATTTTGAAAAAATGATTTCCAGTTCTTTGTCTTTAAAGAAAAAACCATATAACGTTTTTGGTACTACTACTTCTTTTATTGCTTTTAGTATATCGTGTTTTTCATTCCCTTGTCTAATACATATTTCATAGGTATATTTCTGAAATGTCCGCGTAAGCTTAATTTTTCGTAGCATAGATTAAAATTAAAAATTAATCGATGTAGAAATTCATTAACCGATTTTTCAGAAATTGGTACTGAACAAATAGGGTCTTCGGCTGCAGTATGCTGCGTTTCTCCTCTGTCGTTTTCCAAGATTTCGTCTAAATCGGTCGGGTCTAAAACATCTTCGATATCGACATTGGGTAAAATTGAAAGTAGATCGGTATCATTTGTCGCGATTTCCCGCATGTTAATTTCCACTGTGGACAAAGCATCAACGTTAGAATTTTCTTTACCCT